TTCTCGGCTGCTGGTGCAGTACGCGCGCTGAGCGAGGGGGGGGGGGGGGGGGGGGGGAGGGATCACTGCTGGGGGATTAACTGGGCGTCGATCGGCGGGTGGTAAGCAATCGCACTGTGCATCATTTGTATATTCCAATCCTTTCATTATTACTGCTGTCATTTTATTAGTGTTATCATTATTAGTTTCTTCTTTTCTGTTCTAGTAAACCATTCTTATCTCAACCCACAAGTTTTACTTCTTTTCCCGATTTTCTCCCCCATCCCACTGGGTGGGGGGGAAGTGAGTGAGCGGCTGCGTGGTGCTTAGTTGCTGGCTGGGGTTAAACCATGACAAAAACTATATCGTATTCCAAGAGGGGGAGGAGGAAATTACTCAAACCATTCAGGCACTGCAAGTGGGATTTGTTAAGGAAACCATGACTGCTTGTAATAATCCTATTTGGCCTGTTCAAAAACCAGATGGCACTTGGAGAATGACTGTAGATTATAGGGAACGGGATAAAGTCACACCCTGCACTTGCAGTTATGGTACCAGACATGGTTACTCTTATAGAAAAAATTAGCAAAAATTTACAACCCTGCCTGGAAGGTGGTGATAGATCTTGCTAATGCTTTCTTTTTGATAGCCATTGCTTTAGAAAGCCAAAACCAGTTCACGTTTACCTGGCAACAAAAGCAATATGCTTTCCAAGTATTGCCTCAGGGATACAAACAATCCCTCCATTTGCCACCACATGACAGCAGCTGGTAGCACTATGGTCAGATACTGTTACTGTTTACCACTATATTGATGATCTGTTGATTATGGCAGAGTCACAACAAGAAATTGCAGTAGCTGCCAAATCATTGAAAGCACATTTACGGGACCAAGCATGGGCAATTAATCCAAAGAAAATACAGGGCCCTAGTACTACTGTACAATTTGGGGGAATAGTTTGGCATGGACACATTAGAGAAATACCAAATAAGGTACAGCAAACAGTCCAGCAATTTCCTGTACCAACCACAGTAAAACAGCTAAAGACCTTCTTGGGACTTTTAGGGTATTGGAGAACTTTTATCCCACATCTGGTGGTATTAATGCACCCTCTGCAGAAATTAGGAAGAAGGTTGTTTGGCAGTGGACCAAGCAACAACAAGAAACCTTTGATGCCTGCAAAAATGCTTTGATTGAGCATGCACAATTATACACTCCTAGGCAAGGATATTCTTTGAATTAGAAGTAACAATTCTAGATGATATAGTCTCATGGGGATTGTGGCAGATGACTGGGCTGAAAAATCAGAAAGAACTTGTAGGATTTTGGTCTGAGGCATTACAAGGCTCTGCTGTACACTGTACCCTGAAGGAAAAACAAATTTTAGCTGTAGTTTGGGCGCTACAAGAAACTGAAAGAATCACATGCCAGGATAGGGAGACTGTACACACACACACACCTATCCATGGGTGGGTTACTGATGATTCCATCAGGGCCCATGCAGGGGTAGCTCAGGCAGCCACACACTGGAAATGGGAACATTATTTACAGCAACAATTTCTACCAGGAAAACCACATGTAACCACTCTACATGCCACTCTTCTAGGAACTGCATCACTTAATCATATACCCACACTAGGGGAAACTCTTCCCCTTGGAGACAGCCCTACATCTCCTGTGGAGGAAGCTCCACCTTATGACAAGTTAATAGAAGAGCACAAAAAAGATGCCTGGTTTACCGATGGAACTGCAACATACACGGCAACTGGACAAAGACAACGGAGAGCAGTTGCATATGCTCTGGTTCCAGGAATTATATTATGGCAAACAGGTATACAGGCATCTAGTCAGTGGGCTGAACTGACTGCAGCACCCCCTGCCATCCTGGAAGGCAGGCATGTTGGGTTGTATACAAAAGCCTCACAATGTGGTTACCCCACTGGGCCCAAGAAGATTGGCATGTACAAAAATACCCTTTATGGGGGCCAGATATATGGTAACAAATTTGGCAATATGTACAAAGGAGTCCTTCAAAAGTAAAGCATATCTCAGCTCACCGAAAAGATGATTCGCTTGAGTTACAAAATAATAGAGAAATAGATAATATGACTGCTGCCAAAGTACCCGCTCAGGCTATAAAGGCATATACAGCTTGTGGACATTGATCAGCTCATAGTGCATGTGCATGGGACTTGGCTCACAATCAAACCCCTCTGCCATTACGTATTTATAAAGCACGTGCACATAATTGTACTATTTGTATGCAGCTACATTTAAGGGCATTATATAGGCCATGGGGAAAGATAGAACAGGGTCAGGTGGCCTTGAATATCTGGCAGGTCGATTACATGGACCCCCTGCCCCCGTTGAGGGGGTGGCGATATGTATTCAGTGCTGTGGATACAGTGTCAGGACTGTTTTTTGCTAAACCCACCAAAAACACTAATCAACATAGCACAAGTGAAGCATCAAAACAACTCATTCATCTGTACGGACCTCCTCACCAAATATAAAGTCACCAAGGAACACACTTTAGCGGACATAATGTCCAAGATGAGGCTCAAGGGCTAGGGATAGATTGGATATTCCACATTGCCTACCATCCCCAAGCTAATGGCTTGATCGGAAGAATAATTAGGATGTTGATGGAACAATTAAGCAAGGTAGCCAGTACTAAAACTTTACAACACTGGAGTTCACATCTTACTAAAGCAGGTTTTTTGTTAAACAGCCAGAATATTCATAATGAACACCCTGTGATCATATTACAACAGCTCCAGCAGGAAACATGGTGAGGATTGAAATTCTTCCAGACGCTATCTATCTCTCCCAAAATATTAACTACGGGGCTAATGGAATTGTTTACAGTGACGGATTGTGTGTTGGGACCACAACTTCTTAGTCTAGACATGAAGATAACATGAAGATAACTGCTGAGAACGCCCTATGGTTCTGCACCCCAACTTCTGCTTTTATTTTACACCCTCTGTTGATATCGGATTCTCAAGCTCTTGTATTTCAGGTATCTTTGACGAATACCTGTGCCTTATCTAGGGAGATAGATAGCACTGGAACACTGTTATTGGTGTCGCAAATCCAACATCAATTGAAGTTCAATCTGAAAAAGCGCAAGCCGTAGCTCTTTAATCTGTGTGGGCAATCACCCCACATCAGGTTATCAAACCCAGAGTAACATTAGCTGAAGGAGCTGGAGCAATGGTGTGTGTATTACTGGAAGGAGACAACACTCCTGTTTTTCTCCCTTATCACAGGTTGGCTCATCATGCTTTGTAATCTTGTACTAGAAGCACATGCCCTGGATGCATTTCTGCAAGATCAACATGTAAATACTTGGATTTGGTTGGCCTCTACTGTAACTAACTCATCTGCTTTTTCTATTGTATCGATTAACAGCTGCAGGTCTTTTGACAATGTGTTTTATTGGCATGCCAACTCCAGTGGCTGTATTACAGAACTATACTGTGTTAAGTGCTTTTGATATTAATGTTCCTCATTGCTATTTTTTCTGAGTAGGTAACGGCTGTATGCCCAGAAACATTACAAAATCAACTGGCGGTGGGCTATCTCCTTCTTCTACACCATAAACGCTGCTCCAGTCTTGAAGGCATGCATTGCTCCAATATAACTGATGAATCAGCCAGTGTAGAGGATGACATTCAACATCTCCAGGATGTAAGGCGTCCAATGAAACAATCTACCAGTGGTGCCTGGCAGGCTGAGCGGTTTAATTCCCTGGCAGAATGGGTGGGACACCTGATTCAAACCACTATTGTAGGGATAAGTTTATGCCTTTTTCTATATGGGTTCATTACGTGCCCCTACATTACCCTGCCCTACACCCTGCAAGCCCAAGCGGACACCTCCAGCTTTACCAGCCCCAGCGGAAGTGGTCCCTTGAGTGAGGGAGTGGAACGTGGGATAATAACGGACGATTGGCGAGGAGGATTGTAAACATGCTGAAGTGACTTGCAGCTGGGGTGCAGAAGAGCACATATATCGTCCCAATTGCTATTTATCCTCACGTGCTTGACAAGTAGAACATCTGTGTTTAGGTAATGCAGGCCTGCGATATTAGAGGCACCCTGTCGAACACGCTTTAGATTCCTGTCCTGCTGTGGGAAGGATCGAAGCACAGTGGTACATTACGCCTGCGCGAATCCCTGATAAACTGGTGAAAACAGCAGGGGCGGCAGCCCCCTAGCACTGGCTGAGCTCAGCAATGCCTGTGTCCCCACTCGTCCGCCTGCGCCCGGGTATCGGGGATCCCCCAGCTGGTGAGGTAACGACAATAAATTTACTCTTTGCATTTCATCCGCGGTTTTGCAGTTGTTCCTGCGTCCTGCCCGTGCCGGCTTGCACAGTCGTCGTAACTACCCCAACTGGCGCTTCAAACACCCGCTGCTCAAGGAGACACGCCAGCCCCACAGCGAGTCAAGTCCAGTGTCCCATCTCACTGCTGCCGTCACAGCGAAGCGCTCCTGCCCAGAGCCCAGCGGGGCAGTGGCACCCGCCGTTTTCCAAGGTTGCATTTCACTGGGAGAACAGAAAGTCCAGGCGTTCATCGTCACCTGGGTGCTAACCCCATGTAAGAACCGAGCCAGCAGCCCTCCATTCATCCTCCGAAAGGTGCGTGCGTTTCTGGAGGCGGAGGACGGAGTTTGTTCAGGCTCGACTCTTCTGGCACCTGCCCCGCCACAAAACGCACAGCGGCTCTGCAAGTCGAAACGCCGGTTTAATTAATGCTGCAGCATTGAGCAAGCAAAGTCTGTTTGAACGGCCAGTGGTTTTTCAGCTCCAAGCCCATCCTGCACGGGCAAAAGGGCTTCCAAAAATCCTTCTTGCAACAGCCCTCCTGTGAACTGATGAGCGAGTCTGGGGAGAAACATACAAATCGGCACATAAAACCGCTATGAGGTGCAGCGCCTAAAATCCTTCCACCTGCCGCTCCCGAGGGAAAGAAGACTTATCCGAAGGGGGGACTGACCCCCTGAGGCTGCCGGGCTGTTCGGGTACCGGCTGCACCGGCGACAGCCCAAGGCGGCGCCGCCCGCCCGGAGGAGAAGGGAGAGAAAAAAAAGTTTTTTTTTCCTTTAAAACTCCACCGGGACGCGTTCGACACGCGCGACTCCCAGGAGCGCGAGCCGCGCGTTCAGCACCCACCTCGCGGGGTGTCGCGACTCCCGCTCGTTCCCGGCCTTTATCGGAAAACGGGGCCGGGAGGCGGCACCGGAGCGGGGGCTCGTCGGGGCCGCTGGGCTGGGCTCGCCCCCCCTCCCCTCGCCTCCCCTCCCCTCCGGTCCGC